TGTTAAGTACATACTTAAGTATGTTAAGTACATACTTAAGTATGTTAGGCGAGGGGCAAATCACTCTTAGGTATTACTTTTACATAAATGGTATTACTTGGTATTACTTTCCGTACAAATCAAAAGTAATACCAGGTGTATTACTTCTATTGATCAGTATTACTTGGTATTACTTGGATATTACTTTTTTTCGGTATTACTTTTTTCATAGAAATATCAAAAGTAATACCAGAGGTATTACTAGAAATAACTGAGGTATTACTTTTCTATTTGGTATTACTTTTGAGTGATTTCCCCCTTGATGTTAGGTACATACTTAAGTATGTACCCAACATACTTAAGCTTAAATACGAGGCTTAAGTACGTATGTTAACAAGTGTGCTAAGTAAGTACTTAAGGGAGTTTAAGTACGTCTCAAGTCACGTAATTAAACTCAAGTATGCTAAATACGTACTTAAGGGTAATTAAATTCTACGAACGAACGAACAAACGAACATGTTCGTAGATTCTACGAACGAACGAACGAACGAACGAACGAACGAACATGTTCGTAAATTCTACGAACGAACGAACGAACAAACGAACATGTTCGCATACGAACGAACGAACGAGCGCTCGTTGACCGCTCTGCCCAGGGGACCCCACATCGACGAATGTGAATCTGTATTCGGCATCACATGCCGCCATTAGGATAACGCTATGGTAGCGCTGAAAAAAATCGCATTGAAACCGATTTTCATGTTCAGAAAATTTGCAAAGTTTCTACTAGATATACCTTGTAGTTAAAGTACAACGAGCCAGCGTTTGCTGGGCATCGTATGCGCACATGTTTTCCGTCTACCGCTCCAACACAATTGGGCATATTCCATTTTTCGTAAAATTTGCTAGACACGTCTAACCAATTTTCCTTTGTGAAAATCATAAATTCAGTAGCGGCCAATTCTTCATAAATTATTTGACATGTCTCGCGCAATATAACAGTGCTCGCAGCTTGGCTGATGCTATAGGTACTGGCTAGGTATCTTTCACAACGTGGCCCACCTGCCAAATATCTAAAATTTAATGAATAAAATTTCGAAAAGGGAAATGTCAATGCATGTGTAGATTTGACGTAATACATACTCTAACGTATACGACAAACGTTCTCTCGGAGTGATTGCATCAGGTCGTGTCATTCGTTTCGGTTGTAGACGGTGTTTCAATTTTTGGTACAGTTCCTCAAATTGGGACTGAGCTGACAGCTGTCAAAGTATCAACATTGTTTTTTCATTGCTCTGCA